GATGCTATGATTCAAGAGCAGAGCATCGGTTAAATCAATATAGCCGTTGCCTTACTTTCATCGCTAGCCCGTCATCTTTATTTACCCCCCCCCCCAGGTAACACTCTTACAGATGTATACTTTCCGTGCTATATTTGTGCCCCGCTATTTTTACCGGGTATTCCTTTAAATAGTCTATACGATGCTTGACTAGAAGTCATTTTTTGAATATTTGAACGTTGTTCAGGAACTGTGGAACCTCTATGCATATCTTAACCCGTTCTAACAAACCTTACAAAATAGCCCGACAGTTCAAATGCTAAAAAGCATCGCAAGAGACTGAAAAACTGTGTAGAACTGCAACATTTTAAAAAGTCATCACGATATGCCCAGAATCGCACGAAATTCTGAGCAATGGTGGTTGACTCTCAGAAACGCTCGGCCTCTGACACCTCGCCTTTAGTTAATCTACTGAAGTCCGGGTAGTAGTAGGATTACAAAACACTTCTTCAATGTTTTGCACAGATGAGTGTTAAAACACAAAAATGTGGAGGGCTTTCAGTCTCTCGAACCAGCCAGACAGTGTTTCACAGTCGGGGTTATATAGAAACATACCTCCAGTGAAAATTGAGACATGATCACACTAGAGCTCATGTGATGAGGCTGAAAGCTGAATCCAGAGTGACACTCACACCTTCGAATCCGAAAGAAGTAGTGCGTATTTCGTAGTCACTTTCCGATGCCTCTGTCTAACCCACAGGTATTTGTCGTCATGGAGAAATTGGCAGGCGACATGCTCGAGCTGATTTTGGGGTCACCCGAAGGTCGACTGACGGAACGTGTGACAAAATACCTCGTCACGCAAGTCTTGATTGCTCTGCGTTATCTTCATCTTCGAAGCATCGTGCATTGTGACCTGAAACCGGAGAATGTCCTCCTAGCCATTCCGCCCCACAATGCGATTCCGGCACTGGATTTGCCTGAACTGTCCCCTGTGAGTGGAATGGTGAATTTTCTTGTCTGCCATCATGTCGTAGCGGATAGTTTGAGGTCCTTGCATTTGCTTCTGTAGCAGAGTGAAATTTTCTCCCTTTGACTAAGTTACTGAAATGAAACCAGTAGTAAGATTAAACGGTGTTTATTCGTGCGTTCCCATCCTCGCCCTGATGGAGCGAGGGGTGGCCTCATAATGGCCACATAGTACCATTACTGCACAGCTGGTGAAAATATCAAACGTTTGTCCTTTGAATCCATGTCACAGTAAACGTAATCAAACCAGAACTAACATAAACTGGGAAGAATGTTCTGAACTCACTTGCCTGAAAAGGTTGCTAGCGGTAGAAGCTCTACGTAGTCCATGACAGGCTAACAACAGCCAGAGTTTTCAGTCAATTGGAAAAGGTTTGAAACCGATTGATGAATCATCGTTTCAGAAGAGCTTGGTAAACAATCGGTAGCTTTTATTTGGGCAACGTTTCGCCTTTGACACAAAAGCTTCATCAGGTCAAGTGAACAGGTCATCAAATGACCAGGTTATAAGACAAACGGGAAACCAATCAGTAAGTCAGTCCTGTTCAGATTATCACACTAGATCAGTGCTGAGTGTCAATTACGGCTCTTGGCGGTTAGTGAAGTTGTCAAAATCTTGCTTTGGTGGATTGGGGGGGTAATTAATTCTGATCGGGTTTGGTTAGTTGATCCTCCACTTCAGGGTGTTTCAGTTGATGATTCACCTCGGTTGCCACTGGTAGATTTTCCCTGGTTTTTGTGGGGTCTTAAGTGCTCCGACAATTTACTTTGAGGGCTTCAGGTCAAGTGGAATCCAGATGATGACCATTCGTCCTTCTGATGACCGCACACCAACACGTGTCAAGTCGACTGATCCAGAACCGTTCTCCACACGCTTGCCAGTTCCACGCCTTTTATTCTGATAACACTGGGATGCTTGGCGATTTATACCGCCTCAGCTATCAGTTTCTGTGACGTGGACCATAGCACTTTCTGTGACGTGAACCATAGTACTCGCCTCAAAACCTCAGCATTTTCTAAGTCTATTTTGTGCCCCGTGTCCAGTGCGTGTTCCGCAGTTGCCGAGTCTTTCAGTAACGCTTGATATTCATCTGCGTTTCTCGGCGGCCTGTTTATTTATCTACTATGCTCTTGGATTCTGAAGTGTAGTTCCCTGGCCGTCTGTTCTATATAGACGTTGATGCAGTCGCACAATACACTCATTTGCACACCAGTCTGATTTTAATGGAAGATTCAACTGAATATGAATGAGATTGACAGGAACTCGGGGATTATGCCTGCCTGACGAGCCTCCAGAAGGGCTGAACTGGTTAGTTGTCGTTTCGAGGCATTTTCAGGAACTTTGTGAGTAGTGTTTTTTCAAGGAGATATTGATTTCCTCACCACACCAAAAGGTATTGATTTGATTAGGTCTGCTACTAGCTACTTATTAGCTTGAATCAGCATAAAGAACATTTTACAAATTGCAGGTCCCCACCACTCGCATTTGAACAATGAGCTTTACCTGATTCACAAAGTCTCGCGTTTAAATTAAGCGCTTCTACCTGGGGCTGTGTTAGGCAGGAGTCCACGCGGATCCCGCTGTACCGCACGTCTTCAGGCGCTGCTACGGCCGATAAGCCTAGCCCGCACGAGACTGGCCAAGAATCGGGACGCTTGCCGGTCCGGCACCAAGGCGAGATCCGATTGGTCGAAAGTCTGGACCCAACAGCCAATCATGACCCTGTATTGGCTAAATGCCGGTCGCCAATGGCGCATCCAGAACGCGTCAAAAATTCCAGAAAGTTATAACCGCCTACGCTATATATATGAAACGCTGTACAACTGTGTCTGACTTCGTTTTGGGCATCAAGGTGGTTGTTTTGACGTGAACGGTAGCTTGGGAGGCTCAGACCGAGAACTAAGCTGAGAGAAATTCCGTTACTACATGCTGTCATTTCGTTATAGTGAACGATAAACCAGAATACTTATCAAGGTTGTGATGACAAGTTTGTGTGCGTGGTGTTTTCCGAAGCACTTAATTAAATTTTATCATTTCCAGTGGCAAACGTCCTGAAACGTTCACAACAATGTTCCACTTCCAACGCTGAATTATTTCTCTTCTGAGATGCAGTCTTTTGTTCATAATCTGTCCAAAAGTTACGTCAACATGTCTGCCTCCAAAATTGAAACAACACGTCTAACTGCGTCACAGAAGTGCTGAACTTTGGTCATCACCTGCGCATCCCGCCCCTGCGGCTGTCCAAATCTGTGTTTTGTTCATTTTGGCCGTGACCGGACGGTTAGGAGTTCAGACTACTAGCCTGGAGCTCACTGGTTTAAAATTTTCTGGAGTTTTGTTACATGCTTAGAAGTATCATAAACGAGAGATTCAGATGGATACCGTATGAGTCTCCCGTCAAAACCAAGTTTGTTTGCAAATGAGTGTATTTCGCTAATTTCGTGCAATCTGGTTTCAAGTAGAACATAAGGTTGACGGAAATTCGGTGACTGTGTCAACCTGATGAGCCTCCAGCAGGGCAGAACCGGTCGTGGGCTGTCGGAGAGTTTTCAGCAGCCTTGTGATTAGATTCATTTAGGGAAATATACCGCGGTATCCCGGATATTGTACCAGCTGAAACATGAGGCAGCCCGTTGCGTCAGAATACGAGTTAGCTGAATATCCAGTAAAAACCAAAAAGATTTGCAAATGAGTGTGAAACACATTAATCTGTACCGGTCACTTCTTTGTTCCTTCAAACAACTTCGCTCAATTTGTCCAGTACATGCGTACTCATTAGATCACTCGACTCCTTTGTTCCGCAAACACCCAAATCACGTGACAAAGCCCTGTTCCCATTGAAACCTAAACCGACAAGTCAGTTCCCGTCTTGTAAGCGTCGGAACGACTCTAGGTATTATACACACGTCAAATCTTCCTGTATATAGGAAGACACGACATAGTTACCACACACATGCGCCCTCACAGGAGGTAGGGAGTAAACCGAACTCCACAGACAATTACGGTACACGTGTAGTAGCTATACTGCGGAGAAAACACGTTCCCTCGTCCGGACGTTCACCCAGAAATTCATAAACGATAAGTCGTCTTTTGACTCATTCCATTTTTAGCACCATATTTATTTTATCATGGTGCAACTAGTAACCGTAGACTATTATAGACCATAACAAAAACTGCTATTGGCATATATGCCTTCTGAGTTATATTGTGACTACCATCAAATGTGCACTAGTAAATCCAGTTCTCGAAAGGCCCTCGCACTGTCATGCTGACAGGCGAACGCATCCAGTGCGTTGACTTCCTGTCCTGTGCGTGTGTATGTCCTGAGTCGAGTCGTGCACCAGGCCGCCTCATGTTTCACTCGCTACGATATTCGAGGTATCGCGATAAATGTATAGACGTAACGCACTACTCACAAGGTTGTCGAAGAATTTTCAGCAACCTTATGAGTAGGGAAGTCTATTATGCTTTGATAGTTGCACGAACATGAATACAACTTCACCTCACGCGGTTCAAGGTCGCCGGGCCGGCACGTGACACAAGTGGTCGCCACGTAAACAGAATGGATAGGAAGTTTCAGTGTACATGGTGTCTGTGAAGGTTGCAAGTGGGACAGAAATGGTTACGGGATTCGAGTGTTTGTGACGCCTGGTTTTGTGAGTGCGGATGTACCAAACAAATTAAGCGAAGTTGGTTTGGAAACCAATTGAGTGACTGCCACAGATGATAAAGCTCTCGTGCTTTAGACCTGAAGGTCACGGTGAGTCCCGTGCTCCCCTCAGGTAGCATATCATAGCGGATTATAATCTCTCACCGTTGAGTCAAAGATGACCCTACCGCCGCGGAGAAACAACCGACGGTCTAGTTGTTGTATCACGTCCAGAACCCAGTCCAAGACTCTGACTTTGACACTACGCAGAATGCAGCTGGTTTTGAGCTTCCATTGTAGAAGCAGATTCAAAACTGTGACACTTCATGGTTTACGCAGAATGCAGGCAAGAAACTGACTCGTTGGTTTTGAGTTTCCATTGTAGCAGCAGATTCAAAACTGTGACACTTCATGGTCTATGGTCCTCTACACGATGCGAAACGCAACTGCCAGGACGACACAACTTTCAAGTCATCACTTCCAAGAAAATAATGTGCTATCGAGGGAACTCATATCGATCATGTGCTTGCCTCAGGATTTAGCATTTTATTTGGTTGCGGTGAGACGGATTGTTTCACACGTTTCTGTTTCCAAATCGGGGTATGTTCCGCTTGTCTAGGTCAAAGTGGCGTCCCAGTTCTGCCAAGGTATGCGGACGGCAAACGAAATTAAAAATGGCCTAATGAGGTAGTGGAACTTTGACCGCAGGGGTCAGTATTAGGTTAATTGCATAGCTAAACGCAAAGTAGGTAAGACCTCGAAAATTCTATGCCGGACGATTGATAGATTTTAAGTGTTACTTTGTTTCACACAGTAAGCTTGCAGTTGGATAAAACTACCCTAGTATCGATCCCAAAACGTGATTAAATTTGCCACAAGAAACGATTTTGTTCTGTCAGGAGCGTCTTCCCAATAAAACTAGTACCTGAACTGAAGGGAAACAGGTTTAACGTTTTGCTTACTAGAGCGCTCTATGAAAGCATACCTTCCTTTCAGAGCACAGTTTTATTACTAGCGGCTTCAGACTGAAACTGATAAAGATTTCCGAACCCTCGGGTCAAGAGCTAGGGTATACAGTGCAGCCCAAATCTGTGTTCCTTTGACCAAAAGTTTTCCTTTCAAATGTTTACCTTTAAAAACGGCCTGAAGTTAGCCATGACAGTGTGACAGGGAAACTCTCTGTTACATCTCATCTGAAATCCAGAAGAGGAATTTGTCGGCGTACTACGGTATTCCTCAAAATCTTTTTTTCCAAGATAAACTGTCTTCTTCCATTCTTTCTGTAGGAGACGGCATAAAGATTTCGAACCCTCGGGTCAAGAGCTAGGGTATACAGTGCAGCCCAAATCTGTGTTCCTTTGACCAAAAGTTTTCCTTTCAAATGTTTACCTTTAAAAACGGCCTGAAGTTAGCCATGACAGTGTGACAGGGAAACTCTCTGTCACATCTCATCTGAAATCCAGAAGAGGAATTTGTCGGCGTACTACGGTATTCCTCAAAATCTTTTTTTTCCAAGATAAACTGTCTTCTTCCATTCTTTCTGTAGGAGACGGCACACCAGTTCCCTCAGATCAAACTATGTGACTTTGGTTTCGCTCGTATCATCAACGAAAAGTCATTCCGTCGCTCACTTGTCGGCACGCCGGCCTATTTAGGTAAGTCCGACTCGGTTAGATAGACCAGCGCTCATTATGAGGGCTTATCAACTCGGTTTTTCTTGGGAACTTCATTTCTTAGGGAATAAGTACTCTCCCCCCGATTTTGCACTTTTCTTGGATGACTACCACAGACTGCTGGTAGATGTGTGCTCAAATTATCTGCTAGGATGGATTAGTAAACAGGAGGAAGTCCTCACCCTGAAGCAGCTCCCGTATACCCCTCAGAGAAGTACCCATGAACCTTAACCTCCAGTAGAACGTTCTTTGTTGCAAGTACAAAAAAGCTCGTTGGTGATCTTTTGGAAAAGTAAGTGACAATCTTAGTATGATAGTGATTTCATCCTGGATCCAGTCTAGACAGATCGCTTTGAGCAAAGAAAACTGTAACGCTTCTCCCTACCGACTCGTAATACCAACTCGAATTCACGGTCGGTCACAGTGTGTGTTCAGACCAGGCTGTTCAATAGACGGAATCATATGTTTGATCTGATGGTCCAGGCGAAAATTTCGATGAGTTCCATTGTCGAGCTAAAAGCATGTTTCATGTTGAAAACGACATAGGAATACCCAGAGAGTGGTGTCACCATACAACTCTCGATTTGTACTGGAATGATTTAACGGGAGCGACACAAGTCGTAGAGTCGATAATGTCGGAAAGAGTTGTGAGCATGCATTTTCAGACGACCACTCTGATTACTTCCTTTCCCCTGGCGAAACAGTGTGTCCGAAATCCGGGGTGGTTCATCGAACACGCCGCTGCTCCTATGATGCAACGATGATTCTCCCGAATGCTTGCCAAACCTGTGGTTTCTTCGGTCATATTAATTAATTAAGTAATTAAGTAATTAATTATAATTAATTATAATCATACTTAGTTATGGTTATAATTAATAATTATAATTAGTTTTAATTATAACTGATTAATAATTATAATTATAATTAATAATAAGATCCTGTGAACAAGATTCCAGGTTGGCACTCCATTCAGTTTTCAGGAGGGGCGCATTGTTTTTGTTATTAGGGCGGCTGGAACAGCTGTGAACCCAGATCTGGCTGGAATGAGCACAAAGGCAAATTGCGATATTGTTCTTACTACTTATGAAAATACAGGTAGTGTAATAGAACACTCAAATGGAGCATTCAACTCTGCCACACGTTTGAGGCACTGTTCGGCTCTGAAATGAACGTAACATTTTAAGGTATATTCCAGGTATACTCCATGAAATTTCTTAGAAGGTAGCTGAAATATCAATGACAATTCTGGAATCCGAGAAAGTGAAACCGGTTGGACCTCAATGACCGGAGTCCACAAAATTATTCCTAGAATTATCAGATAATGAGTGGGGTCTTAGTTAATGGACACGAAATAAAAACTCATGAGCTTTATGGGATGTTCTGATTGACTGGTAGGTTGTCATTATTTTTGGTAATCAAGATGCGGATGAATCTGTTAGGTTCTTTTGGAGGCTAAGCGTCGGATCTGTAGAAGTGTGGTAAAGCGTTTTGTGTAACTACATGCAGAGGTCATTACAGTAGGATGTATTAGTGCTCTATTTGATGATGTCCATAATACAATTCAGAAGGTATATGCACTAATAAAAGTTTTTAGTGTAGTTGACAATGGTGATATGCCACACGTATAAAAATAAATACAATACAAAACGGGAGCAACTCGAAAGTGGTACTTGTCGTCTGTGAAATTACGGACGGCGGGA